TGCTGTTTTCCCCCCCCCCCCCCCCCGTGTTCATTGGGGGGGGGGCTCGCCTTGTGTCTGACATAACACTTGCATTTGTTTATCCATAACAAACAGCCAGAATCTCCCAAAGCATTCAAGCTTCAGGCAAGTGCATCTCCCGCTGTATCGATACGCCGCGCTATCATTTGTGTGTGTGTGTGTGTGTGTGTGTGTGTGTTCGCATGCCCTCGTCTTCAGATATCCGCCGCTTCCAAAATGACTTTGCATGATTAATTGAAGCTTCCTTCTTCATGAGGTTATTTGTTTGTGCTGGCTTCGCTTCCCCTCGGGGATTATTTGCAACGCTCTAAATCTGCCGTGAAATCGACAGGCGGATGAAGTTAAAGGCCAGAATGGAGTTTTAGTAGAAACACATGTCAAATGTGCTGAAATAAATCTCACATGTCACAATCGCGCTCAATACTGTTTGGCATTTTTGTGGATTTGATGTCTGTATCATTTCGAGCCACCGCTCACAATGAGGATATCGTGACATTGTAAGAACTCTTGCGGTGTCCTGAAATCTGACATTGGAGTCCTAATTATCAACAGGGTGTTCTCCCCTTTGTTTTTTTGTTTTTTTTTGGGGGGGTGGGGGGTCGACGTTGAGTTTGTATTTCCAAAAAAAAGCATCTTGTTATGTCACTGTCCAAGAAGTAGTTTATCGGTCATCCTCGTGGAGGGAGCAAACGTAAGCACACCTCTCTAATTAGCAGTGTGGCTGTGTAAAAAGCGCACACAAAGGCAGTCTAGAAATGCTCTTGCAACTCTTTTGCAGGACTGCTGCATAAAAGTGACTGTCGCGCTGAAAAAAAAGAGACTTCTGTGGAAATTGGATTGGACGTTTCTCACCATCTTGCTGAAAATCTGTCCTACATTTTGCTGTTTTACGATGTCGAAAAGACTGCTGTGGGAAAGGGTCATTAAAACAACAAAACTATTGGTGGTGGTGTTGGCGGCGGGGGGGGAGCTTTTCGATCTGTAATTTTGGCATTTTACACAATGAGTATTCAGTCATTTATCATTTTGCTGGAAATGCTTTTCAGAGTTGCGCACCGATTACACTGCCATTGGCAAGTTCACGGTGTACCATATTGGTCACATTTCCACGTGATATAATCCCTTTCTTCGAGGCTGCTCTCAGAATAGATGAATAAGGAAGTTAATAATCACGGTCGTATACAGGAGTCAAAAGGAAAACTTGTCAAATCTTCCAGACGGCAGTAAATCCAAATTTCAGCTTCCCAGCCACCGAGAGGATTGATTTACAGCCCAGATGGTTGTTTGATACAAAATCAAAAAACACGGCATTAAAAAAAAAAAAAAGCGCCACATGCTCCCTTGTGTCTATTTGTTGCGTTTTCGAAACATGACAACAGGGAGGTTGTTGAATTTCTCACTTTGAAAGTATGGATGTCCGCCAACATTTACAATGTGAAACGCGGGTCAGATTGCTGCAGCCAAATGGGATGTGCTGACCTACATTGCCATGTTTGCATCCTGCCTTTGCGCACTCGCCACTCGCATCTCAGCGTCTCAATGCAGAGAAGCTAATGAGCAGCTTGACAAAAGCCACCGGTATGTTGCTGCATGTCGAACTGCTGGACTGCCTTCCGCCTCGGCCACGGTTTTCCAGGCTGTGGGAAGTTGGGATGGTCCTCTCTCACCACGGCTATCATTTGAAACTCGCTTGAAAGCAGAGCCTGGAAACTTTGGAGACCGGCCCAAAAAAAAAAAACCTCACGGTGGGCCGTGAAAACCATTTCGGCAGATGGGGGATGACATTGAAAACAACAACACATGCCCGCAGGAGTTCGCCCTGTCCCTTTGTTTCTTCATCTTTCATTGATCTTTTCGAAGTTCAAGTTTTGCGTCTGTTCCTTCCAAAATGGACTTGTTGTTTACACCCTATACTCACAATTTCAACCCTTTTTTTTGTTTGTTTGTTTTTCCAGAGGTGAATCGGGGGCCGGGAAGACGGAGAACACCAAGAAAGTGATCCAATACCTGGCCCACGTTGCCTCCTCACACAAAGGACGCAAAGACCACAACATTCCAGTAAGAGCCCCACTCTGACTTGAGCGTTAGCCAAGCTTTCTTCCGCCGTCATCCATCCTCTCTCTTTAACCTCAAAATGGAAACGCTCATGCTGACTCGATTATTACACTGGAGTCAAACGCATAGTTTGCCGACCAGGAGTCCCACGCTAATCAACAGCTAACTTCATAGGTTTGTGTGTAGCTTGTTCCTGCCCCCCCCCCCAGTGTCTGACATAACACTTGCATTTGTTTATCCATAACAAACAGCCAGAATCTCCCAAAGCATTCAAGCTTCAGGCAAGTGCATCTCCCGCTGTATCGATACGCCGCGCTATCATTTGTGTGTGTGTGTGTGTGTGTGTGTGTGTGTGTGTGTTCGCATGCCCTCGTCTTCAGATATCCGCCGCTTCCAAAATGACTTTGCATGATTAATTGAAGCTTCCTTCTTCATGAGGTTATTTGTTTGTGCTGGCTTCGTTTCCCCTCGGGGATTATTTGCAACGCTCTAAATCTGCCGTGAAATCGACAGGCGGATGAAGTTAAAGGCCAGAATGGAGTTTTAGTAGAAACACATGTCAAATGTGCTGAAATAAATCTCACATGTCACAATCGCGCTCAATACTGTTTGGCATTTTTGTGGATTTGATGTCTGTATCATTTCGAGCCACCGCTCACAATGAGGATATCGTGACATTGTAAGAACTCTTGCGGTGTCCTGAAATCTGACATTGGAGTCCTAATTATCAACAGGGTGTTCTCCCCTTTGTTTTTTTGTTTTTTTTTGGGGGGGTGGGGGGGTATGAGGTCGCCAACCTTTTTGAAACTGAGAACTACTTATTAGATTAATGCAAAGGGCTACCAGTTTGACGCACTTCAGAAGGTGGGCGGGGGGGGGTGAAAAAAATGCACATATCTTGACTAACTATTAGAAATCTAGTGTCGATGCATGTTTTTAGCACAGAATAACAAACGGAGCATTTATCTCTATAAGTCGACGATAAGTCACGTTATCGCTGCATGGCCCAACAAACCAAAAATGGGAATCGGATGGCGGAATCCACAACTGAAATCTCCCTGCATGCCATACGACTTGTAATGCCGTCTTAATATAACCGTTGGCCCCTTTACAGCTAACCCAAAAGAAATACTAACTACATCTGTCTGTTGCTAATATAAAACAGCGCAAGGCTCCCTCGTCTGCCGCTTTCGAGGCCAACAAACAAGGCAAACGATGCTTTAAGATGCTGTGAGCGAGTAATTGTAAACCTTGGGCCCCAGTCCTCCGCCTGCCATCAATCTGACCTCCATCATACCGCTCTCCTTCTGCAGCACATTATGGCTGCCTCTGAGCAAAAGCCAGAGGAATGTGGACACAGCGATTGAGAGCGAGAAAGAGAGAGAGAGCGTGGTAGGGGAAGAAAATATGAGGTAGTGGAGAAACACAGCAAATCACTTGGGAATGTCTGTCTATTCTCAAGTTGTACATGTGCCGATTTTTGAGTTAGTGTATGCCATTGTCAGCTTCAAAAGACACTGAGTAATAGCTGCATGAACGACTCTTATTTGCTCGGCTTCCACATGAACTGTTTTCACCATGTTTTCAAGTCCATTCGTTACTATGCTACACTCCAAAGTTTCCTTGAGTTCTTGTCCTCATGCGTGTCGCCGGTGAGTTGTAGCCTGTCGCAGCCGATTTTGGGGCGAGAGGAGGCGGGGTACGCCCTTGGACTGCTCTCCGGTCGATCACTGGGCACATATTGGCAAACAACTACTTCAACTTTTGGGTCTGAAATTCACCTGTGTTGCACATGAAGGACCTGGACAAAAACAATGTATGTCATTATTTCTTCAATCTGGTCCGGCCGCAAATAAAGTAGCAGGAGTTGCAATTTGGCTCGGATGCAAAGATCTGGCGCAACGGGAACAAGAGTCCAAGTCCTATCTGCCGAAATACATTCTCTGTGCCGTTTTGTGGTGTCACAACTGTTTGGAGGCCTTGGCCCTCTTATCTTGTTGGCGTTCTCTTGACAAAAATCACATCGTGCTGATTAAAGCAAAAGAAAGTCATGCCAGAAGCCGCTCTGTTCCACTCACCACGTTTTGCAATATCGGCAAAATACACTTGGTCGTGTTTCATTTCTTTGGCGTCGTAATAACGTGTCCTTGCACTCGCTCCCCAAGTGCTCTGGAGTTGTCTGAACTTTTTCTGCCGAGACTTTTTGTAGCCTCGCTGACCTTCCCAACCACATAAGAAGCTCAAAGGGGGTCTTGGATGGAAGGTCTCTTATGTGTGGCTTGCAGTGCCTGTTAAATTGATTGTAGGAGGTTTTTATCACAATTGAGAGCGTTACCTTAACATGTTAGTGTTTTGGATGTTGCACGTGTTTCATGTCAATCCACACCTTTAACCCTCCGACAGTATTTTTAACCTGATGCTCGTACCTCGATGTTTACAAATGCAATGCGCCGTTGAATTGTTTTTGCCGATGGTTACATTTTCTTTTTACGGTTTGGTGAAGGCCTTGCAGTTGTTGGCCAGCCAGGCGCCCGCTGACCTGGTTTTCTCTCTCCGCAGGGAGAGTTGGAACGCCAGCTCCTACAGGCTAACCCTATCCTGGAATCGTTTGGTAATGCCAAGACGGTGAAAAATGACAACTCCTCCCGTTTTGTGAGTTCACTCTTATGCGGAGGCCATCTTTGTTTTGACTGATGAATTTATGTGCAGGTGCAAATGATGCGCTACATTATCAAGGTTATTATCCTTGCATACTCTACCCAAAGCCTACATGCCCACATGTCGGAAACTCACCAGTCTGAGATTGAGTTTTTTTTTTCCTGGCTTTTCCCAAAACGGCATCGAATTTTGTTTTCTCCACCGCATTTGTGATTTGCAGCCAACTACACAAACTACCAGTCATGGGTGGATGTTGAAGACACAGAATGCAGCACATATTCTTCAACTGTGCTTTTTAACCTGATGATTGATCTCCCTTTACCACAGGGCAAGTTCATCCGAATCAATTTCGATGTCGCGGGCTACATTGTTGGGGCCAATATTGAAACCTGTATCCTTGTGACTGGAAGAGAGATTGAAGATGAATGCCGGTTGGAATCCAGTTTGTCTTTGCCTGACAATAATAGATGTGGCCTGGCCTTGAAAGTGTCTGGTTGCAGGATTATATCACAGAAATGATTGGCTCCAAGGTTTTTGTCCAGAAAGAACTCCCATTCTTCAGTTGCAAGCCAGATTTGGTATCTTGCCATCTAATGGTTGCTATAGCGCTGTTGTCATCCCACCGTCACTCCTGAACAACCGCTGCCAGACCTTCTGGAGAAGTCGCGGGCAATCAGACAGGCCAAAGATGAAAGAACTTTCCATATTTTCTACCGCTTGCTGGCAGGGGCCGGAGAGCATCTCAAAAGTGAGTTTATTCCGTCGCCAGCGTCGCAGTCATAGCAATTTATTTACCGTTCCAGCAACCATAAGCGACTTTAGAAAGCTGCTTTGAATTACTGGTGACTTTTAATTTTGGATGTCCTTTTTTCTTTTTTTGGATACTTTGATTATTCCCCCACGTCCTCGAGAAATGTCTCTCCGAGCATACTTCGGAAACAAGAAGTGTAGTACTGTCCTGTTTGATTCATACGAATAATTCTTGAAAAATTCTTTAAATACGTCAATTTTGGGAAAATGTTGTCATTTTTACCAAAAATGAATTGTGGATGAAATGTATCCATCTCATCCGTTTAATAAATCCCTCAGAATGGATTTATGACTTCATGTGATTGATTCCATGATCTCAAAAGTCATCTTTCTCTCCCATGACAGCGGACCTGCTCCTCGAAGGCTTTAACAACTACCGATTCCTGTCAAATGGTAACCTTCCCATCCCTGGCCAGCAAGACAAAGACAATTTCCAGGAGACTCTGGAGGCCATGCACATCATGAGCTTCTCACACGATGAGATTGTCTGTGAGTGGGAGTTCTCGACGTATTGGGCTTCTCTCCACATTTGCCGACAACTATTTAGCTTCTGTTCCTTCACTCGAACGAAGATCAATGAACGTTTGTCTTATTCTTGTCAGGCATGTTGAAGGTGGTCTCAGCGGTGCTGCAATTTGGCAACATTGTCTTCAAGAAAGAGAGGAATACCGATCAGGCCTCTATGCCTGAGAACACCGGTGAGCTTTCAACAAACACACACACACACACACACACACACACACACACACACACACACACACTCACGTACTTAATGATCCGCCAATCTCGAAAATGGGATGACGACGTACTCTCAGCTTTCACCACAACAGATGTTCGAAAGCCTCTTGCTCAGTTCCAGCAAAAGCTCACTCCGACAACAAGTTTGATTGTCTTCCTGGTATTTGACGGTGTGACGTTGCGATCGGTCTTTCAAGTGTCGCCGGGCCGCATGTTGGAGTGTCAGCGCGAGCCAATATTCCTACAGAAGTCAGGCACATGATAGTCAATGAATAGAGAATACATTCCGCCGTTGTGCATTTTGACCACATAATTATGTTTTCTCTTTTCTCCGTCCTTTTAACATCGTCATCAATTCATTTCATTTGTAGGTATGCAAATGTTATGTTGTACAATATGTTGAAGCTTGTTTTTGTTTTTTGCTCTTTCAGCGGCACAGAAGCTCTGCCATCTGCTTGGAATGAATGTGATGGAGTTCACAAGAGCTATCCTCACCCCGAGGATAAAAGTAGGCCGAGACTATGTCCAGAAAGCACAGACCAAGGAACAGGCATGTTGCTCGTTTACTCGACTCATAAGAAACGTGTTGCCAAAGGATAAGAAGACACATAGCTACACCTTGAGAGAGAATCAGTTCTGGAAATTGTCCTGGCTCATTTGTAAATTTTGCGCAGGCCGACTTTGCTGTGGAAGCTCTGGCCAAAGCTACATACGAGCGACTGTTTCGCTGGCTGGTCCACCGCATCAACAAGGCCCTCGACAGGACTAAACGTCAGGGGGCGTCTTTCATCGGCATCCTGGATATCGCCGGCTTTGAAATCTTCGAGGTGGAAATGAATCTCCCGCTCGCACGGCGATCTTGCGCTCCCGACATCCCGACTAACTGGACTTCTGCCTCGCGCCTCATTTTAAGCTGAACTCATTCGAGCAGCTGTGCATCAACTACACCAACGAGAAGCTGCAGCAGCTCTTCAACCACACCATGTTCATCCTGGAGCAGGAAGAGTACCAGAGGGAAGGGATCGACTGGAGCTTCATCGACTTTGGCCTCGACCTGCAGCCTTGCATCGAACTCATCGAGAGGCCGGTTTGTGCTCCTCGCTCGTACGCTCGAAATGCCGACGCTCGGTCCCGTTTGTTTGTTTTGAACAAGCTCCGTCCCCTCAGAATAACCCGCCCGGTATTCTGGCTCTGCTGGATGAAGAGTGCTGGTTTCCCAAAGCCACAGACAAGACCTTTGTGGACAAAGTGCTCCAGGAGCAAGGCACCCACACTAAATTCCAAAAACCACGTCAGCTCAAGGACAAAGCCGACTTCTGCATCATCCACTACGCAGGCAGGGTATGTCATTCTGTCTAAATGGAGCGCAGCTTAGTGAAAGTTTCATGCGCGGAATGTTATTCTAATATAGGCAAGAGGAGGAAAAAAAAGTATCGTATGACAACGACTTAAAAATAGACGTCACGTTTATTCCTGCCCTTATGTCGGGCTAATGTTTTAAGACCTTGATGAGTTACATCATTGCCTTTGTACAATAGCCCAGTTGTTGTACTGCCGCCTCTGCCGCCGTCGCTGGAGGATTCTCACATCTGGTTCACATTGATGTGAGGCCGACGGCTTCGTGCGGCCGCGCGTATATGACGGAGGTTTGCGGTTTTCACCTTTGCGTGGTTGCGCGGTCATGTGTGAAGAGAAAACCGTACCTTACGCTCCGCGTTTCCCCCCCCTGCGGAAGCTCGTCAGTCAGAGCCGATGATTTCGGAGCCTCTTGAGTTTTAGTTGGACTTTAATGCCGCGTTCCGCCTTCTCGCATTTGTCCGTATGAACGCGGCGATGAGCGAAGCTCGCCACGCCAAACAGAAGAGGCTTCATGGAGTATTCGCTCCGGGAGGCGGCATTTCATTTCAACTTGTTCAAATAAATCCTCCGAGACAGAGTAGCACTGAAGAGAAAATATGTGCAAACAGCGTGAGTTTGCTTTTCCGGGATTCTGATGAATCCCAGATGGGGAGCGGGCATTCCTCATCTCAGGTTCCTCAGCGTGTCAATTACTTGGTATGTCGTGCTGTGATCCCGCACTCTTTTTAGCGAGTCGGGCATCACCGTGTTACAGGCTAATCCAATGAACATAGCGCGGCCGACATGCTCCCCGATGGACACGGTGACCCGTCAGTCCAATGAAAGGAGTGGACAGGAACAAATTTGGTCATCCCTATTGATGCTGTGTGTGATTTAGGCACAAGCGCCCCGTTGTAAATTGAAGTCGGACCACATACTGTCGTAATGCCGCATGTCGAGGGGGTTTTGTAGTTATGGTGCAAATAACACGGGAGTGCTGCGTCCTCAGGTGGACTACAAAGCTGACGAATGGCTCATGAAGAACATGGATCCCCTGAACGACAACGTGGCCACGCTGCTGCATCAGTCCACCGACAAGTTTGTGGCCGAACTCTGGAAAGATGGTGAGATGTGTCCACTGCACCTCTTTGGCTTCGTTCTTGGAGATGAAATAATCATACAGGGGGGGGAAGAACGCACAAAAACATAACAAAAGGAAGATGACCGGGAAAGATGATTGAGAGAGAAAACGAGTAACGAGGCTGAAGGAAAGCCAAAGAAGGTGGATGACCAAACAGGCAAAGTGGAAGAAGGAATACATTGTCAATGTCAACTGCATACTTGTGGTATATGCTAATGAGCCGAGCATGCTTGCACTGTCAAGAACGTGGTCAGTGTGACAGACTAAATCTTTATACTGCTTTCCGGACTAATCCTCCGCCTTGCGCATCATAACTTTTTATCAATCATTTCAAAGTAACAATATTTGAGTGTAGTTTTGTCTCCCGTTGTTGTGGCTCCTTTTTTTAACTCACGCCGCTGTCATTTGTTTGTGTGTGTGTGTGTGTGTGTGTGTGTGTGTGTGTGTGTGTGTGTGTTGTAGACATTCAGACGTTTCAAAGAGTCTCTTTCTTTGACAATGTGCCTGTGCTCCATGAGGCTCAAGGTGAACGATGACATGTACTCCTAGCTATCGCGCATCCTCCATTTTGGATCACTGATTCGGTATTTCCTCAATGGCTGCTATGCGCCCGCTTTCAATGGTGTTTGGCTTTGCATGGCCTCTTTTCCTTTTTCTCTCACTGGGTGTTATTTTGCCATCCCTCCATCATGACTGGTGTCTTCCTCGCTAACGTTTTCAAGTCTTAGATTTGCTTTTGTAAACCTCCTGAAACATAAAGAGACAATCACATTTCCAAAAATGAGTGAGAAATATTGAAGATTGTAACTGACTATTTTTCAGGGCATTTTTTTTTTTAACTTTGACCATCGTCAGAAAAAAAACCCAGTAGATGTTTCCAAGGGGAAAAGTAGTGTTTGCAGAGTATTAGCTGGTATTTTGACAGCTTTGAGGTCAAACCGGGCGGCGTGTTGTGGTCTCGGTGGTTTTCTCCCCCGCTGCCACACTGGCAAAGAATTGCACACACGCCGACTTCATCTTCATGATACAATATCCTGCATTAATCATTTGGCCTCTTAAATGTGTTGAAACAGCTTGGCCAGTGTGCCCGGCGGTTGTCTCGATGCATCACTAACGATGTCATCATCGTTTGTCATCACCAGTGGACCGCATCGTCGGCCTGGACCAAGTCGCCGGCATGAACGAGACGGCGTTCGGTGCCGCGTACAAAACGAAGAAGGGCATGTTCCGCACCGTGGGCCAGCTGTACAAGGAGCAGCTGTCCAAGCTGATGGCCACATTGAGGAACACGAACCCCAATTTTGTGCGCTGCATCATTCCCAACCATGAGAAAAGAGTGAGTCGCAAGACCGGTCGCGGTCTCTGTCACCCTGTTCAATGGCACTATTTGCGATTTCCGATACAGTACATTCTACAGACAAACAACATGCATCTGGTATGATATCGTAAACTGTATAAAGAAAAAAAAAATCTCTCAAAAAAAGTCATGCAGCGTTTCAACGAACACTGCCAGATCGGTATAAAATTACAGTTGAGGTTTATTTCCTGATTGTGGTTTATCTGCCTCCTCCAGGCCGGTAAACTGGATCCTCACCTGGTTCTGGACCAGCTAAGATGCAACGGTGTCCTGGAAGGCATCCGTATCTGCAGACAAGGCTTCCCCAACCGTATTGTCTTCCAAGAGTTTAGACAGAGGTGCTTTACTTTCAATCTCTCGGCTTGTGTTCCATTGTAAATAGCTCGGCTTCATCCATAAAGACTCACTTTGAATAAAATGGTAGATCACTGATGGCTCATACGCAATTTTCACCCGTCTCGCCCTCTGCCCTACCATTCACTTCTTTGCCCAGGTATGAGATTCTCACGCCGAACGCCATCCCCAAAGGCTTTATGGATGGCAAGCAGGCCTGTGAGAGAATGGTCAGCAACCAGACCGTTACAACCTTGTCATTCGCTGTTCAATACGATCTCAGTGTTGTTTCAAATATTTCCCTCTTTGCTAGATCAAATCCCTGGAGCTTGACAACAACCTGTTTCGCATCGGCCAGAGCAAAATTTTCTTCAGGGCGGGAGTGCTGGCCCACTTGGAGGAAGAGAGGGACCTGAAGATTACAGACATCATTATTTACTTCCAGGCTGCTTGTCGCGGCTATCTTGCACGCAAGTAAGGGGACGCCGCCTGCATCGGTCATCTGTATCAAGTTGACGTTTGTGGCAACCACATACCCTCCGTTTCATTTTTTTTTTTCCCTCTCTCGTCTTACTTCAGAGCCTTTGCCAAGAAACAGCAACAGCTTAGTGCACTCAAGGTTCTCCAAAGAAACTGTGCTGCGTACTTGAAGCTGCGTCACTGGCAGTGGTGGAGACTCTTCACTAAGGTGTGCTTTTCTGTGACCACGAGAGAACAGGACTTGTCAGAAATTACACATCATCCCCCCACTCGCTATTACCACTGCGTTCCAAGAACAAATTCCTCCGAGCACGTGACAACTGCTCGTTTCCCTCCGAATACAGGTGAAGCCCTTGCTGCAGGTGACCAGACAGGAGGAGGAGATGCAGGCTAAAGATGAGGAGCTGGTCAAAGTGAAGGAGAAGCATACAAAGGTGGAGGGACAGCTGATAGAGATGGAACGAAAGCACCAACAGGTCAGATGCATTGATGTAGTTGATGCTGGCAAACAGAGATTCCTGTCATGCTCGATCGGTTGTTGTTGTTGTTTCGACGTAGTTAACGGAGGAGAAAAACATCCTGGCGGAGCAGCTGCAGGCAGAGACCGAGCTGTTTGCGGAGGCTGAGGAGATGAGAGCTCGCCTGGCTACCAAGAAGCAAGAGCTGGAGGAGATCCTTCATGACCTTGAGTCCAGACTGGAGGAAGAAGAGGAGAGGGGCCAGGGCATGGTCAATGAGAAGAAGAAGATGCAATCCCACATCCAGGTGAGCCCCGAAGACATTAATATCATACGAAAACAGAGAAATAAATGGTTTGGGTGTGCGCGTGCGTGTTTGTGTTGGTAGGACCTGGAGGAACAACTGGATGAGGAGGAGGCTGCTCGGCAGAAGCTGCAGCTCGAGAAAGTGACAGCTGAGGCCAAAATGAAGAAATATGAAGAGGATATTTTGCTGCTCGAGGACCAAAACACCAAGTTTGTCAAGGTGAGGCGCAGCAAAGATGTTCAAAGTCCGCTTTTCTTCATGCCAAATGATTTTCAGTCAGTTCTCCGGAACGCTCACGTATCCAGGATTAAAACAAAGTGATGAGCACACACGCAACCTCAGAGTGTATACGTGGGCCCTTTTAGGAGAAAAAGTCACTGGAGGATCGTATCAACGAGATGACCATTTTCCTTGCTGAGGAGGAAGAGAAGGCGAAGAACCTGGGAAAGGTCAAGAACAAGCAAGAGATCATGATGGTTGACTTGGAGGGTAAAGGAGATGCGCGCTTCTCGTGTGAAAGAAGGCCGCCAACTACCTCTCGGCGCGTCTAACATTGTCCAATTTTTAAACCAGAGAGGCTTAAAAAGGAAGAAAAGACCCGTCAGGAGCTGGAGAAGGCTAAGAGGAAGCTGGATGGGGAAACCTCTGACTTTCAAGACCAGATCACCGAGCTCCAGGCCCAGATCGAAGAGTTCAAAACTCAAATTGTCAAGAAGGAGGACGAGCAGCAGTTACTTCAAACAAGGTAGGCGATGAGTCACGCGGGACGAAAGACGGAGGTTCGCGAGCCAAATGCCGTATGCCGCAGTCCGAGCAAGATAAACGTTTTAACGCCACGGAGAGCTTCTGGCATGATGAGCGTGACATCAACGTTGCCGTCACCCCATTTCGCATTGATGCAACTACCTTTTATGTGCTGCATGTTATTGCACTGACGGCATATGCAAGTATACGGATCGAGTCTCATCACCTGGGTCTCACCCAACAAAGTATTTATTGTTCTATTCTGACTACTCTGGAATGTGCCATTGTGTGATTGGTGGCCTTTTGCACTGTATGGATCTCGTATGTCTTCCACGAATGTGGCCATGTAAGTACGTAATGACTAAGAAAGTGCTTCCAACAAAAGTCCAAGCAGAAGGGGGAAAAATGCAGGATACAAAGCCAACTGCGCAGTTTTGAAGTTGAAGTCAACATGACTCACTCGTTCGCCACAAATGACTACTGAAGTGCAAGCGGGTGATCGGCGTCAGTCAGAAGTCAGAAAGGGATTTGGAGCAAACGTCTCATCAGAAAAGAATGCTAATATGGCCAATGCACAACAGTAACTTTGTCTCTGCTGCCACCCAGTGGCGAGGTGTCAGACCAGACTTTTAAATTATTATTTTTTTAAATAATGATAATAACTAGATTAGATTAGATATCCTTTATTTGTCGCACACTGGGGAAATTTACAGTCTACAGCAGCAAGATAATTTCACAATGTGACTTTCCCATCGCTAGTTTTGTCTCCATCCTATTTGATTGTTATATTTGGCAGCACATCTGCCTGACAGGTCTTTGTGGAGATTTGCATATTCACGCTGCGCTTGTGTGGGCTTCCTCTGACATTAGATAAACATGTATGAAAACTTGCTCGATGTTTGACAGGGGCGAAGATGAGGTCAACCAGAAAAACAACGCTCTGAAACAAGTGCGAGAGCTTCAAGCCCAGCTGTCTGAGCTGCAGGAGGACATGGAGTTGGAGAAACAGGCCAGGAACAAGGCTGAGAAGCTCAAGAGAGATTTGAGTGAAGAACTGGAGGCTTTAAAGACAGAACTGGAGGATACGCTCGATACAACTGCTGCCCAACAGGAGCTCAGGTAACCATTTCTGGATTTGTCCCACTGTATCGGAAATCAAGAAGCTTGAGACATTTCTGTACTTTGTAGGACCAAGCGAGAGCAAGAAGTTGCAGAGCTGAAGAAGGCCATTGAAGAGGAGACGAAAAACCACGAGGCTCAGATCCAGGATATGCGACAGAGGCACGCCACTGCTTTAGAAGAGCTCTCTGAGCAGCTTGAACAGGCCAAGAGGGTGAGGTGCCTTCCCCGACTCCATCCCGTCCCACTGGGGGGGGGGGGGGGGGGCCCCAGGTCTGAATATTATTAACGTTGCCTCCAACCTTTCTCCAGTTCAAAGCTAATCTGGAGAAGACCAAGCAGAGCCAGGAGAGCGCCAACAAGGAAATGGCCTGTGAGGTCAAAAGCCTCCAACAGGCGAAGACGGAGTCCGAGCACAAGAGGAAGAAACTGGAGGCTCAGCTGCAGGAGGTCACCGCCAGAAACACCGAAGGCGAGCGCACCAAGGGCGAGCTGACTGAGCGTGCGCACAAACTGCAGGTGAGACGGCCATTTGCGACGCCAAAGAGTGCCGTCTGTCACCAGTGTTTTATGTTTTAGATCAACTCAACCAAGGGTTTCGGATAGGTCTCGAGATTTCAGAATTTGTCCCAAATACTGTACCGAGCACTCAACAGACCATTTCTCCGCGCAGACCGAGCTGGACAATGTGTCGGCCACGCTGGAAGACACAGAGCGTAAAAGCATCAAGTTGACAAAAGACGTCGCTGGACTGGAAAGTCAGCTCCAAGACACGCAGGTGCTCCACGCGGTCTTTGGATGGAATGTGATGACACGTTTGTTGTTCGGCGAGCTGGAAAACGGATGACGTGTTCACGCAGGAGCTGCTCCAAGAGGAGACCCGTCAGAAACTCAACCTCAGCAGCCGCATGCGCCAGTTGGAGGAGGAGAAGAACGGCCTCCAGGAGCAGCAAGAGGAGGATGAGGCGGCCCGCAAAAATGTGGAGAAACAGTTGCTGACCTTACAGGCTCAGGTGGGGTCGCATCATCTCCGATATCGCGGCGGCTGTACTTTTGGTTTTGATTCTCAATTTGAATCGCGCTTCCTCCTCCCCCGTTTGCAGCTGTCCGAGAGCAAGAAGAAGCTCGAGGACGACGTGGGAACAATCGACGGCCTGGAGGAGGCGAAGAAGAAGCTGCAGAAGGACTTGGAGATGTCGGGCCAGCGTCTGGAGGAGAAGACCATCGCTTTTGAGAAGATGGAGAAGACAAAGACTCGTCTGCAGCAGGAGCTGGATGATCTCACCGTTGACTTGGATCACCAGAGGCAGAGCGTGTCCAACCTTGAGAAGAAACAGAAGAAGTTTGACCAGGTGAGAGCCGAACCGGAAAGAACATTTTGATTCGGCCGGTGTGGGTTCAAATATCGGCAAGTCGGCGTTTCCGTTTTGGCCACGGCGCGTTCTTCTCCGCAGTTACTGGCTGAGGAGAAGAGCATTTCGGCCCGTTATGCCGAAGAGCGCGACCGGGCGGAAGCCGAGGCCAGGGACAAAGAGACCAAAGCTCTGTCCATGACCAGAGCGCTGGATGAAGCTCTGGAGGCCAAAGAGGAGCTGGAGAGGGTCAACAAGCAGCTCCGCGCCGAGATGGAAGATCTGATGAACTCAAAGGACGACGTGGGCAAGAACGTGAGCCTCGTCCGAGCGGCAAACCCTCTTGGCCGCGTGAACGGAACGCGTCATTCCGTTTGTGGCTCCCCTCTCGGCTGAAGGTTCACGAGCTGGAGAAATCCAAGCGCACGCTGGAGCAGCAGGTGGAGGAGATGAAGACTCAACTTGAGGAGCTGGAGGACGAGCTGCAGGCCACCGAGGACGCCAAGCTGCGCCTGGAGGTCAACATGCAGGCCATGAAAGCGCAGTACGAGCGCGACCTTCAGGGCCGCGACGACCAAAACGACGAGAAGAAGAGAGCGCTCATGAAGCAGGTGCGGCGTCCGGCTTGGCTTTGACGCTCCGGCGTTCGCCGGCGGCCTAACTGGATTGCCTCGGCTCCTCCTTTCAGGTCCGAGAGATGGAAGCGGAGCTGGAGGACGAGAGGAAGCAGAAAGCTTTGGCCGTGGCCGCGAAGAAGAAACTGGAAATGGATTTGAAGGACGTGGAGGGTCAGATCGAAGGAGCCAGCAAGGCTCGAGATGAAGCCATCAAACAACTGCGCAAGTTGCAGGTGCGCCTTTGACGTCCTTCTTTCACATCTCTTTAGCTTCGCATCGCGACACCAACATTTTGTCTTCAGGCCCAAATGAAGGACTACCAGAGGGAACTGGAAGATGCCAGAGCCTCCAGAGATGATATTTTTGCATTATCGAAGGAAAATGAGAAGAAACTGAAGAGCCTGGAGGCCGAGATTGTGCAGCTGCACGAGGTACCGTCCCGTTTTGAGAATGGAATTTCCCCTCGCAGATTTAAAAGGGCCGCGGAGCATGACGACGGTTTTGTTTCCCCCTCAACCTTTTGTCTGTGTAGGACCTGGCGGCGTCGGAGAGAGGACGACGCCACGCCGAGCAAGAAAGAGATGAGTTGCAAGATGAAATCTCCAACAGCACATCTGGAAAGTACGTTCCTTTTACCGCATTTTGTTCTACACCAGAAGTGCCCAAACAGTCCGTCGGGGGTCCATCGGGGGTCCACATCAATAGCCACGCCTAACTCTCCTCCTCAGCCTCTCTTTCTCTCTCTCTGCTTGTGTCGAAGGACTGCTCTGATGGACGAGAAGAGGAGGCTGGAGGCTCGCATTGCTCAGCTCGAGGAAGAGCTCGAAGAAGAGCAGGGCAATATGGAACTCCTTAACGACCGCTTCAGAAAGACCACCATGCAGGTGGGGCGTTCGCCTTGAGTTTTGCAAGGGGTCCCCCGGATAAGAAAATTGCACGAATTCTCTCGGCGGCGCCCGCCCGCCCGCCCGCCTTCTCTCTTTTGTCTCGGCAGGTGGACACGCTGACCACAGAGTTGAGCGCGGAGCGGAGCGCGTCGCAAAAGAGCGACAACGCCCGGCAGCAGCTGGAACGTCAAAACAAGGAGCTACGGGCCAAGCTGGGCGAGCTGGAAGGTTCCGTCAAGAGTCGCTTCAAGGCTTCCATCGCGGCGCTGGAGGCCAAGATTGCGCAACTGGAGGAACAGCTGGAGCAGGAGGCCAAGTCAGATTCCGCTTGACTGTGACGGGAAAAAGGTGTCAAAGGTGTCGAGCCCGAAACATTGACTCCTCCATGTTCCATTAACCTTCTCGGCAGGGAGCGAGGAGCAGCTAACAAGTTAGTGAGGAGGACTGAGAAGAAGCTGAAAGAGATTTGCATGCAGGTGGAGGACGAACGCCGCCATGCGGATCAGTTTAAGGAACAAGTATGTTTCCTGGAAATTTGAGTTATTTTCTTTTGGGTGACTTTTTTTTTTTTTTTTGGGCACGTCTTGCTGATATTTTGTTTGTGGTTTTGTGTGTGAAGGTGGAAAAGGCGAACTCTCGTATGAAGCAGCTGAAGCGTCAGCTGGAGGAGGCAGAAGAGGAGGCCACGAGGGCCAACGCGTCGCGAAGGAAGCTGCAGAGAGAGCTGGATGACGCCACCGAGGCCAGCGAGGGTCTCAGCCGCGAGGTCCACACGCTGAAGAACCGCCTCCGGTACTCTCGCGACATACACACAATGAAATTTGCAATCCTGGCATGGTTTGGGTTACATTTGACTGAAACGGTGCTCGCGTTGCTGCTCTAGGCGCGGTGGCCCCATCAGTTTTTCCTCCAGTCGCTCGGGCCGACGTCAGTTGCCAGTTGAGGGCTCGTCTTTGGACCTCCTGTCTAACGACGAGCCGGAGCACAAGGTCACGGACAACAACGCCAACGAGCCCGCCACCCCCCAGCAGGAATAAAAAAAAAACGGCGACACGCCTTCACTTGAAACCGTCGGCTTCAAGAAGGAACTCTGTCAGCTTCTTGCGTCTAAAAGGCCTTTTCCGATCGCGCGCGTCTTAGCGCGTCGCATCAAGACACCAGCGGTTGGAATCCCAACATGCTCTTTTGCCAACAAGTGTTGCCTTATTGGTCCTGCAGAGCATCATTAAGCCCAAACAGCGTTCATCTCATCCCTAAATCCCAGTAGATGCATTTGAAGTACATAAGTTATTTTGGATGAAGAGTCGTCATCCAGCCCTGCACAGGAACGCTTTGCTTGCGTCGAAAAGTAGCGATTGAACGCAGTCCATCTCCTTCTGATTGCAATTAGCTTGCGCTCGACCTTTTTGTGCCTTGTTCCACTCCCTTCAAATACATTTATGCCAGCGATACTGTTCATATACGCATCATTTTGTGAAGATGTATTTTAATAAAACATCCAAGTAATGATAGTTTGGAGAGATGTCGGTGTAGTTTGTCTCTGCCGCTCCAAAAGGAAATTGAAATGACCGCCACGCTTGGTTCTGACTGAGTTTCTATCGAGCTTACAGACTTCAAGACGTGTCGACATCAGCCGCGTTTATCGTCGAGGTGCTGTGAGTTGAGCCGGGAGATAACGTCTCTGTTAATCGATCGAAAACAACTTCTGTAATCCTCCATGATGTGACTCATAGTCATAATCTCTCCATGCTGATGAGGGACGCGCGTGCGTGCCGGTCGAGTGCCCAGCAGGCAGTCAGACAAGGAGAAACTGCTCCGCCTGAAGATCCAAAACAAACCATACAAGTAAGTGACCGCATCTCTCATTGATGACCTCCACCGGGGAGGTCATATTTTGATTGGCTACTGTCTGTCTGTTGTTTTAATGTTTCCTCTCCCTGAGAGTAAAATGATGTCGTCCATCGTGTGCTCCTTCCCGTGCCTCGAATTCCAAACCATAAACAGCTGCTTTTAGTTGCTCATGTCGGTTCTCCAGTGAGTGGATGTTAATGAATACGCCGGAGGAGGAGATTGATGATTATATGCCTCGCAGAGACAAAACCCAAATTGCATCCGTGCGAGTACAAAAAAAAAAAAAAAAAAAACGGGCTTCAGGGGAAG